CTGGCTGTACAGAGCTAGGCCAAAAGACCCCAGGGAATGGCCACAGTCCTCTAGAGACTGTCGCGATTTGACATTTAATAGGCAGCCACAGGCTTGAGGTTCAGGCAGCCCAGAGAAGGAAGTTGGCTTCCTACCCCTCCTTCCCCCAGGCCAGGGGAAGTCAGCTTGCAATTAGGGGTGAGGGCTACCCATCCAGCAGCTTTAGGATGCTCTCAGGCTCCTTCAGAGTCTTCCAGGCCTGGTCCTTCTCCTTCTTCATTGGGGTCTGCTTCTTCTGCCAGGCAGCCATGATCTTCCAGAAGGCGTCCATGACCTCGTTGTCTGCCATGTGGACCCGCTGCCTCAGCTCCTGCTGGCTTACCTCCTCTTTTGCCAGCCTCATCAGGTTGTGCTTCTTGGTACGATTATGGGCACTGAGCGCCTTCAGCTCGGTCTGCAGTTTGTGCAGCTTGGCAAGGACTTCATCCTCCGAGTCCTCTGCAGGGTGGTCCTCAGACTCTAGCAGGCCCCGGGCAATCAGCTCCTCCTTGATGTGCCTCTCCAGAGACTTGGTATGTGGCACGCTGAAGGGCTTGTTCTGATTACAGGGAACGGTGCTTGCCCCATTGGCCCCTGATTCCTTCCCAGACATGTCAGGAATAGGAGAATCCTCCATAGGGGAAATGATATTTTCCTCCACCAGGGCCTGTAGGAGGTGCTGCGTCAGAGCACCAAAAGGGCACCCATCTTCAGGCTGCTCATGCTGGGCTTCTTCAGCAGGGCAGACTTCTTCAGCAGGGCATCCACATCTTTAGTGTCCAGTTCAGTCAGTGGCCCCATAAGGCCTTTCTTTTTGTCAGCCACAGCTGCTGCCCGGGCCCCATCCTTCTGTTCCTCCAGCAGGTCCTCCTGCACCCAGCATTGGGAGCAGTGCTTCCCCAGGGGTGGAATCTTGTAATGTTCAGCCTCGTCTTCTGGGGGTTTCAGTAGTTCCTCTAGTATGTGTACTTCCTCACTGGTGATATCAGCACAGTAGGGCTCTACAGAGGCCCAGAACCTGTTGGGGGCATCATTCCTGGGGATTCGTGGCATGTCAGTTGGGTCATCAGTGAATTCATATTCCTGGATCTTGGGCTGAAGGTTTTTGGATCTGGGATGCCGGGGACCAGGGCCCGGCCCATGTCCCACCTTCCCTTCCAGTTTCTGCTTCTTCTGCTTTCCATGTTTTGGGGGAGCTCCAAGCTCATGGTTTCGACACAGCTTCAGGAATCGTCAATCACCTTTCTTATTCTGCCAGTCAGTGAGGATCTGGGTTTCACCCTCAAGAACCCACAGGCACCAGCTGGCAGAGGAAAGCAGGGTCTCAAGCTCCAGCTGCAGAGTGTCCAGTTCTTCAATGCCGATGCCATCATCCTCAGAGCGGGCTAGCATAGCCGTGTAGCATGGACAGACCTTCAGGTGGTCCACAGACTTGAAGTCATGGAACTGCAAGGGGCAGTCCTTCAGTACACTCATGGTCCAGGATATGGGACCCTGTGGAACTACTTGGGATGTTCTGAGGATTATGAAAGGATGCTTGTCAAGAGCCCCGTTCAGTGTCTGGCACAGAAGTGCGCCTGTTTAATGGCTGTGCTGTATTTGTTTTATCTTTTTTTTTTCTCCTGCAGGCTTCTCTTTATCCTGAACAGTGGTTGATTAGTTTAGTTTAGTTTGTTTTTTTTTTTAAAGAATTTATTTATTTATTCATGAGAGAGAGAGAGAGAGAGAGAGAGAGAGAGAGAGAGAGAGAGAGAGGCAGAGAGGCAGAGACACAGGCAGAGGGAGAAGCAGGCTCCATGTAGGGAGCCCGATGTGGGACTCCATCCTGGGTCTGCAGGGATCAGGCCCTGGACTGAAGGTGGCGCTAAACCGCTGAGCCACCCGGGCTGCCCAGTTTAGTTTAGTTTTGTTTTATTTTTTAATTTTATTTTATATATATTTTTTAAAGATTTTATTTATTTATTCATGAGAGACACACACAGAGAGAGGCAGAGACACAGGCAGAGGAAGAAGCAGGCCCCATGCAGGGAGCCTGATGGGACTTGATCCTGGGACTCCAGGATCACACCCTGGGCTAAAGGTGGCACTAAACCTCTGAGCCACCTGTGCTGCCCCTAGTTTTGTTTTAGAGTTTGACATTTTCGAACCTTTTCCAGGTATTGCCCAAACTTAATGAAGTTAAAGATATTTGCAGTGCAGTGTAGTTAACCTGGTTTCATATAGTGCTGCTACTGTGGCTTCTAATGTGTTCTTATAACTGTTTCCTGCTTACTCATCCTAAAAGGTTTCGCCTTGATGTGGCATCTTTTTCTTCTGCTGCCCTTTCTTCTTCTTTCCCTTCTTTAGAGCAGCAGGTTGTCTTTGCTCCTGATTAGCATATTTTCACAAATGGTCACTCTTTTTGAGAAGTCTCTAAGAACACAGTCAAGATTAGATCATTGTATTTGGAAAAATATTCAAGCATTGGCAGGGAGGAAAATTGAGTTGATTACTGAGCAAGATCTTTGTAAGCCAACCTGCATTTCACTTACTGTTTCCAAATAGCAAACTAAATTGTGCAGCATTGTTTGAAATTTTAAGCCCTCCAATTCACTCTGGTTATCAGTCTGCCTTGGGAGTCAGTGGCTGGCCATCTTGATTGTTACATACCTAGCAGGCTTAGAGTAGAGTTCTCAGACCTGGTAACAGAACAAAATATTTAAACACACACACTAAAAACAAACAAATAGGGGAAACTTGTAACTGGAAAAAAGACCAAAACAGTTTTGACAGTTTATTGTTAACTGTGTCCAACAAAGGAAGTAGACTTGTAGGTTTATCTGCAAGGGTTTTCAGCTCCACCCTTTCATGGAAGAGAATGATAACTTGTTGAGGCCGGTCGTGGTGGGGTGGTAGGTATGGGAGATATGCATTACTGTGCAATATTTCTAAAATGGGGCCCATTTTAGTTCAAAGTTGCTCAGAAAAGTCATTATTTTTTAAGAGTTTTTTTTTTTTTTTTAATTTATGAGAGAGGGCGGGGGGGGGGGTGTGGAGACACAGGCAGAGGGAGAAGCAGGCTCCATGCAGGGAGCCCGAAGTGGGACTTGATCCTGGGACTCGAGGATCACGCCCTGGGCTGAAGGCAGCGCTAAACTGCTGAGCCACCCAGGCTGCCCCATTTTTATCATTTTTTTTTTAAATTTATGATAGTCACACAGAGAGAGAGAGAGAGGCAGAGACACAGGCAGAGGGAGAAGCAGGCTCCATGCACTGGGAGCCCGACGTGGGATTCGATCCTGGGTCTCCAGGATCGCGCCCTGGGCCAAAGGCAGGCGCCAAACCACTGCGCCACCCAGGGATCCCCATTATTATCATTTTTAAAAAAGATTTTATTCATCTGTTCATGAGAGACACAGAGAGGCAGAGACACTGGCAGAGGGAGAAGCAGACTCCCTGCAGTGAGCCCTATCAGGACTCGATCCCAGAACCCCGGGATCACCTGAGCCACCCAGGTGCCCTAAGCATTCAGTAGTATTAAATCAGAAAAGTTGGGGAGACAGGACCCAGTGATTAAAAGAAAGTTGGAACTCCAAGAATTCAACATAGCTTCTTGGAAACAATTGTGTAGACCTTTGGAACAAGAGATAGAAAAGTACCTACTAGGGACACCAGGGTGGCTCAGCAGTTTAGTGCCTGCCTTCAGCTCAGGGCATGATCCTGGAGTCCTGGGATGAGTCCCACATCCGGTTCCTGATGGGGAGCCTGCTTCTCCGCCTCTCTCTCTGTGTCTCATGAATAAATAAATAAAATGTTTAAAAAAAATAAAAAAGTACCTACTTAAAAACCAGCTCTTGTAGCACCAGGCTGGCTCAGTTGGTGGAGCTTGCAACTCTTGATCTCAGAGTTGTAAATTCAAGCCCCACCTTGGGTGTAGAGATTACTTAAAAATAAAATCTAAAAAAAAAAAAAAAAAAAAAAAAATCTCACAGTTTACCAACCATGGGCCAAGTAACAGGTGCTTATCTCCTGATCCTTACCAGCACATGTTGAGATGGGTAGTTACCAACTCCATGTGGCAGGCGGGGGCTCTGAACTTCTAGAGGGATGGAGTCCTTGTCTGTGGCCACCCAGCTAGTGCAGGTGGGAGGCCAGATTGGAACCCAACACGTTCTCAGTGGACCCAGCGCCTTTGCCACTAAGCGGCAACGTGATTTCACATCTGAGCGTTTCTTGGCCGAACGAGTTGGGAACCACTGGTTTCAGAGATTGGAAATCACGGGTTGTATGTCCCTGGATTCCTTCCCCAACCACTATGCTTGGAGCTGCGTGGTCGCTCTCGGCCTCGATGTCCCTATCTGTATCCTGCACAGACCTCACTGAACCAGGCCCCACGTCCTTCGCGCAAGGCTGCAGGGCACCTCAGGCCTCCGCGGCTGCTAGGCGGTGAGGGGGGGGGCGGGGACAGGGCATCCCGAGCGAACTCTGGTCCGCGTGAATGGCTGCCAAGGAAAAGTATTGTCCTTAAGTCCAAATTGGTGCTTGGCGCGGCGGATCAACTTCAGGCCTCCGTAGAGCCCCAGTAATAAGGGGCCGGCTCCGTTCAAAGGCGAGACGTTGTTCTAAGAGCAGAGAGTGTGGTCGCTAATAATAAAGAAGTCGGCGGGGAGAGTTCTGCGGGTTCCAGGTCCCGGCCGCACCCCCCTTCCCCACTTCCCTCCGCGTGCTCCGGGACCCCCGGACGGCGCGGGCCCACTGGAGGGCGCCCGGGAGGAGGGGGGCAGTGGGCGGGGCGCGCGCGTGCGCGAGCTGTCAGGCCGGTCCCGCCCCCGCCCCGCCCCCCGCCGCCGCCCCTCCCTCGTTTTCCCCCTCCCCTCGCTCTCCGGGTGTGGGGAGGGCTGGCGGGCGCTGCGGCGGCCGCGGCGGCTGCTTCCTCGGGCCATTTTGCTGAGGAACGACGAGGAGGAAGAGCTGCTGGAGCGACCCACGGAGAAGAGCGGCGAGCTAGAGGAGGCGGCGGCCGCGCGCGCACCGGGCTTTCCTCGATCGCGGGGATCTCCAGGGGCGAAGGGATCGCCGGGGAGGGGGACCGGAGAGCCGCGCCTGCCGCGCGGCGCGCCCCTTTCCGCCCCCTGCACCATGAGCTGGGGCACCGAGCTCTGGGTGAGTGAGGGGCCGGGCCCGCCGGGCTGGGGGGCGGGGGGAAGGTGCCTTGCGCGCCTGGGCAGGGGGCGCGGGCCGGGCTGCTTTGGTGGAGGCGATGGCGTGCGGGTCCGGGTCCCCGCGGCCTGCGGAGGAGACGCGGGGCTGTGCCACTAGTCGGCCTCGGCCCGAGCAGGAGGTGCAAGCCCGATTCGCCCTTCCGAGGCGAGGGGAGCTGGTGTGGGTCCTCGGCCGCCGGAGGAGAGGGCACGGAACCGGGCCCCCCGGCGGCCTGGGCAGAGGGAGCGGATCCGGGCCCCCCCGGCGGCCTGGGCAGGGGGTGCGGATCTGGGTCCCCCCGGTGGTCTGGGCAGGGGGTGCGGATCCGGGCCCCCCCGGCGGCCTGGGCAGGGGGTGCGGATCCGGGCCCCCCCGGCGGCCTAGGCAGGGGGTGCGGATCCGGGTCTCCCTGGCGGCCTGGGCAGGAGGTGCGGATCCGGGTCCCCCCGGCGGCCTGGGCAGGGGGTGCGGATCTGGGTTCCCCCCCCCCGCCCGGCGGCCTGAGCAGGGGGTGCGGACCTGGGTCCCCCCCCCCCGGCGGCCTGGGCAGGGGGTGCGGAGCTGGGTCCTCCCCGGCGGCCTGAGCAGGGGGTGCGGACCTGGGTTCCTCCCCCCCCGCCCGGCGGCCTGAGCAGGGGGTGCGGATCTGGGTTCCCCCCCCGCCCGGCGGCCTGAGCAGGGGGTGCGGACCTGGGTACCCCCCCCCGGCGGCCTGGGCAGGGGGTGCGGAGCTGGGTCCTCCCCGGCGGCCTGAGCAGGGGGTGCGGACCTGGGTACCCCCCCGGCGGCCTGGGCAGGGGGTGCGGAGCTGGGTCCCCCCCGGCGGCCTGGGCAGGGGGTGCGGATCTGGGTACCCCCTCGGCGGCCTGGGCAGGGGGCACGGATCTGTGTCGAGCCATCCACCCTCGTGCCCGGGTAGGGGCCCAGGTCCCGCCGGGGGTCTGGGCGAGAGGTGCGGATCTGGGCCCCCCCGCGGCCTGAGGAGGGGGCGCGGGCGGGCCTCCCCTCCGCGGCGCCCCGAGGCCAGTGCGGTGTGTAGAAGGAGCAGCCTTAATCCCTCGGGGCGAGGAACCGACGCGCGGCTGTGCAGCTTCGAGGGGGGCGTGGAGGCCCTCGGATTTTTGCGGGCTGCCTTGTTTGTTCGGGCGCCCCAGCGGCGAGTGTCTAGGGCTGTTCTCCTGGAGAGGTGCGGGCGGATCTGGCGCTTCTCTCCGGGGCGGGGTGGCCTCGGCCCGGCCAGGTCTCGGGTCTTGGGTTTGGGGGTACAGGGGCGAGAAGTGGCGTCTTCCCTCTAGAGGCGAGGACTTTTGACCTGTGGCGGCGCGGGGCGCACTTGTAGTTCTGGAGGAGCCGCTCAGATGCCGGATTTGCCGTGGGGACTGCGGCGTTTGGCCCAGAGGGGAAAGTAAGCGGAGTTAGGGGGAGAATTTTGTGTGATCACCTTCAGGAAGAGGCGTTCGCGAGAACTGCTCAGGGGAAACAGTTTCGTACGGGAAAGGTTGGCGGCGAGGGGAGCCCTCGGAGGTCCTTAACCTGGGGCTGCGGATGGGTAAACAAGCAGCGCGGTGTCTGGAAGCTCTTGCTGGAAGCTGTGTCCCCGGAGCCGGAGCCGGAGCTGGGCGACCTGGGGATGCCGAGGCAGTGCACAGGCCGTCCCCGGAGAGGAGAGGCTGTGGCTGGTGGAAGGGAGCTCGTTTCTCTGCCTTTCTCTGGATTCCCGGGGAAATCCCTGGGCAAGGGATGGGCAGTGGAGAGTTCAAAGGGAGGAGTGGATGAAATCTCCATCATTGCACTGAAATGTTCTCAAGATGAGCCATTTCCCATGGTGAGCCGGGAAAGTGCCTCCTTTCGGAATTCCATTTGTGAAGGGTGTGGAGGAGAAAGTGTAGGGTGGTGGTTGCTGTCTGAACTGAGGCCAAGAAATCTCACGTCAAAATAAAACAAGGTTAGAGCAGCTACAGAAACAGAGCGCATCCTCCTTTATTTATTTATTTATTTATTTATTTATTTATTTATTTATTTATTTATTTTTTGGCTTTAATTGTTTTTACATAACCACTTCTTAGGCTCAGAAGCAGCTACTGTCATTGACACCAAAATCCTGAAGGCAATAGCTCCCTTAAATTAAAGTAATTCATTTTACAAACATCCTCTGTCCAAAGGAACTGGAAGATTTCAGGTGATGTGTACGAATATTCATTTTTAAAATAAAGTAACTGATGGCTTTACATATTTGTACATACATCCTTAGGCAAAATCTATCATGTTAAGGGCAGTGATTCTTCCCTCTTCTATTTCTTCTCTACTCCCTTTGGCTCTTAGCTTACCTGGGATGGGGGAACAGATCAGAAGTAAATTTTATCAAGATAAGAGAAATTCTGGCACGATCCCCTTTCTCTTGTTCAAACAAGAGAAAGGAATTGAGGAGGAAAAAATACAGTATATTTTTAAGTGCAATAGATAGGGCTAAAGGGAGTGAACGTGATATGGACATTTCAGCAATGTTACTGAATGGCATAAAAGGTGATCAAGAAAGAGAAAGTAGCTATGCGAAGAAAATGGTACAGTAGCTCCAGTCACCTGCCTTGTTCTCTACACTTCTTTTAGGAGGCAGAGGGGTGAGAGAGAGTGCAAAGACAATTTTGTTGAAAATAAATAGGAACTGGAATATATATGATATGTGATATGAAGTCTTGATTGGTTCAAAATAAATTGGGGTGGTGGTGGGTAGGGATGTTGGCAAAACAGGAGTAGTCACGAGATGGTAATTGTTGAAGCTTGGTGACCGGCATAAAAGGGCTCATGATACTATTCTGTGTATGCTTGGAATTTTCTGCAATAAAAGTAAGTGGAAAAGATTTTTAAGGGGTGGGAGTAGTGTGTACTAGACATTTTTTTTGCTTGGTAAGTTTACAAGAAAGAACACATCAGTTAGAATTTTGTATATGCAAGTATATGTCAATGAAGAGTTGCTGAAAAAAAGCATTTCACTAGAGTATGGGCCTTTGTCCTTGAGTGGCTTATAGTTTACTGGGGAGGGGGGGAGGAATGAACACATGACTTGCATTCATAAAAGAAGTGTACTAGTTGAGTTTTTTTTGTTTTGTTTTGTTTTTTTATTTTTTTATTTTTATTTTTTTTTACTAGTTGAGTTTTAAGATGAAATGCCAAGAAGTAAAAAAAAAAAAAAAAAAAGAAAAGAAAAGAAATGCCAAGAAGTATAAGGGCAACAAAATGTCTCTTTTCAGCTGCTTTATTAGCGCTTGAGGTTTTTTTTTTTTTTTTTTTATTGGAGTAATGAAGGATTCTGATAAAGAAGCTTCCAGTCCTTCAGTGGTAAGAAACTGGGTAAAGTGCCATGTTGGGCATCACCACACAGCCCAGCGGAGAGCAGTCATTGAGGGTTTTCTTTGAATGGTGGCTTGGACTCATGCATGCGGGTAATGAGATAACGATGGGGTGCAAAAGCCTAAGTTGGTAGAATTATGTCTTTAGGTGGAGGGAGACTGTGCTATGGTTTGGATGACCATGAATTATTTGTAACAGGTGGTTGCAGCTTTTCTAGACTTTCACAAATACCACCAGGTTTTACACATATTTTAGGACTTTAGTCAAGATCCACACAGGCTTTTAAAACCTTCGGGCTTCTAATGGGCACTTTACACTCAAGGCTTGCTCTAAAGGCATGTCCTCCTTTTAGGTAGAGTAAAACCTTTCTTTCTCTATCTCTCTCTCTCTTTTTAAACATCTCTGTAAGGGGTGAGGTTTTATATTCCAGGAAACTTTGAGAAATCATGAAATGTCAGGAAGTCATCATACCACTACAAAAATGAACTCAAACCCATAATTTGTAATAACTTTATTGGATTAGTTTGTATTTAAATGGGAGGCTATTTTTGTATCAGAAGGGTCCTAACAAAGTATAAATGGCTGTTTTAAAGTGATTCGGATATCATTAAATAGTTTCTGTACAACTCTTAATACTAGTCTTTTATTTTTTTTATTTTTGGTGTATTTTTTTTAATTTTAATTTTAAGGAAACTCCACATTACACATGGGACTCAAACTTAGAACCCCTAGATCAAGAGTCACATGCCCTACTGACTGAGCCAGCCAGGCACGCCCCCCACCCCCAGATACTTTTCCCTTTTAATCGATTTTTAATTTTTTTTTTTTATTGAACAACTACTGTGTGTAAGACACTGGATCTAACTCATGTTATATATATCAAAGGATATTAGCTTATTTTGGTGAAACCCTACAAAGTAGGTTTTAACTCTAGTCTGCAAAATCAGAGTCAAAAGAGAGATTTATGTTTCTAAGATTAACCCAAATGCATTTACACAAGCCTTTGTTACAAAAGGTAACATTAATAGGGTAAATTGATTGTGCTTACTTGTTGAAATTGTGACTGGTCATTGGAGAAATGGCCAAGCAAGAATTTCTTACATTTGAATGTTTTTTGTTACTTACTTAGTAGAAGGAAGTAACAAGTTACTGAAGTATCACTTCAGCTTTTTATTCACTTGCTCATTAATGCGAAGTATAAATAAACCTGCTGGAAATTTTAGCATTCCTCATAATTATTCTAATCTTTGCCACTAACAAATGACTAAGTGGCAGAACCTAGTCTTGTGGTCTCCTGGTATCCTCTCTGCCATCTTCATTTCTTTACTTTGTGCTAATAAGAAATTGGAGTAGCCCAAAATATCAAAAAGCAAGAAAACAAGCAGAGAGATTTTTTTAACCTGAAATTCCAGGACAATGCCAGACATGCTATGTATGCTCAACAGTATATTGACTGTGGTGATATTGATTGTGGTGTGCACTTTTTAGAGGCAGCCCTGAAAGAGTTATCTACCAACTGTACTGAGAACAATGCCTGACTCATAGTAGGAGTTCAGTAAATATTTATTGGATAAATGAATGAACCATTTTTCCCTTTTGTTTTAACATTTGCT